AAAAAAAAAAGAATTAATTTGTATTTTTTCATTATTTTCGTCGAAAATACCTTCGGTTGTTGCCATACAGGTAGATTAATAGTTGATGATAACAAATTGTATTTTAAAAGATTTAAAATTTCTCATATCGTTAAAAATTATACTTCTCTACATATTGTTTCACCTTATCGGAACAAATTATTTCCTTTCTTTTCTAATCAACCGATACATTTATTTAATAGTTTAATTTAAATAAGACTGTTACGTTTAATTTAAGTAAGACTGATACGATGCTTACCATTTCAAACTTATTTTTAAAAAAATCATTATGATCAACAAATAATTAAGCTAATATTAAAGATTTCCCTAATCATTCACCCAATTAATTACGATAAATTAAGGAGATTATAAATTAGGAAGAAATGTTAGAATGATGTATCAGATTCATTCATTTCTTAATTAATTTCATGAATTTTCGTAAATATTAGCTTAATGGTACTACCGGTGCATTGGTGACAATTCAATTGCAACAATACAACAATCCTAATCTTGCACTACCAAATGGTTATACCTGTACTTGTCCAACAGGTATACAATGTCCATATCTTCAAGAGGGTTCTATAACATGCTTCTTCTCATTTACAATCATTATATCAGCATCAAAGTTTGTTTATTTCCCTTTTTTTCTTTTTTTTTTTCTTTTTTATTGATTTTTATTTATTTTTCAAAAAAAGAAACTCAGAATTAATAAACAATTAAAATTTATTTTCGCATTTTATATAAGCTTAATATATTGCATCTTTTCGTTTCCCATATCGATTAATTTAAGTAAATAATGAAAAAAAAAAGAGAAAAAAAAAAAAAGAAAGCGGAAAAAAAAAAATCGAAAAAAAGAACCTGAATCATCATCGTACATTAATATTTGCATTTAGAATTCAAAGATACGATAAGAATTCACATACAATTCATTCTTCCTTTCCTCATTCCATTGTTATTACTTTTGTTCGTTATGGAATATTACTTATATTATCATATATTTGCATATGAATTATTAAATTAATAGAAATTAATCTAATATCAGTTAAATAATAATCTAAAAGGAAAAAAAATGTTTTTAATTTTGAAAATTAAAATTTTATTAAGAAGGTTATAATAAAACTAATTTCTAATCCAATAGTAAAAATGTGCATTTTTTAATTTTAAAAAATTAAAGCTTTAATTAATAAAGATTACATTCAAATTATTTACCTCTTTTTTCCTTCATCTTATTTTTTTTTTTTCCTTACAGCCAATCAACACAATTAATTGAAAGTCCATTTACAATGGTACCAAAATCTTCAATTAATTCCGGTATTTGGACAAATGATAATATTGTAAATATGACAGTTAAACCGGTAAGGTTG